CTGGTGGGAATTACAGAAGCTACATACTAGCTTAGCTGTGGCTCTCTCCTGCTGAGAAAGGAAAAGAAACCCTCCCTCTAATGTAAACAAACTCTTTGGAAAGTCAATTAATTATCCCAGGGAGGCCAAGGGGAAAGTACCCACCCTGGAATGCAAACATTAGGCTAGAGTGGAGATAATTTTTATTACCCTCTGCATGGAAACAGTTGGCTCCAAGTCCAACACCATTACACCAGAGGAGGAAACAAGTCTGCTGCAAAGTAGATAATCTGTGGCAGGCTAATTTCCTTTGTTCAGAAGGACAAACCATTCAGGAGCGTGAAAATATGGAGCATTGGTTCCTTGACATTGTTTTAATGTACTCTAATGAATCCATCTCCTGCCAATCAGCATTTGAGTTCTCATTGATTTGTCTATATTCCCCATTCAAATCTTTTGCCAGATAAATGTTATTATTTTTCTCAGTTTATGGCATGTCTTCATTTTTATACTGACATCTATAAGAGCAAAAGATTTTGATTATAAAAAGTTCATTTAATTTTATGATTGTGTTTTGGTGCCCCATCTGAAAACTTTTTATCTCAGTGTTAAAGGTTATTTTTTCCTAGAAATGGAATAGTTTTAGCATATTCAAAGTAGATACATGGTGAGTTAAATTGTGACTATATGTGAAGGAGATTAATTGTTATGTATGTATGCCTTGTTTTTTCTGTACTATTACTAAAAGGACTTTCCATTTCTTGACTATCTACTGATGCTATATGTGTATGTCCATTTCTGGATTTATAGTCTTATTGGTCTGTTTATGTATTTTTGTACCAACATCACTCTTTATTTTTAAAGGGGCTTTGTAGTTTTCTGTGGTGCTGGAGCTTGAATTCAGAGATGCTGCTACTGAGCTTTACAGCTAGCCATCTTTTTTGGGTTTTATTTCCTGTACTTTGTGTGCAGAGACATTTTTAAGGCGGTACAGAGTTTTTGGTCCCTTTTATCTAGTTATTATCTTTGTAAATTTTCATAACTGAAGAATGTTGATTGGCACATTAATGCTAAGTAAACCATAAATAGTGTATGAATTTTTCCAGTTTTCCCATGTATCTTTCAAGATCAATCTAAGGTGCCATGTTGTTTTTAGTTGTTATGTCTCTTCAGTCTTCTCTGGTTAGCGATTATTTATCTGCTTTTCTGAACTTTATTTTTTATGGCCCTGATACTGTTAAGGAATATTTTTGAGGTATGCTGTAGACTGTCCTGAAGAAGTCTGAATTTACTTGATGTTTTCCCCATGATTACAGTATGGGTTCTTCTGAAAACATGTCACAGAAATAAAATGTTTTCATTACATCATATCAGGGGCACATATCCACATAACATCATTCATGATATTAACCTTCACTCCTTGCTTAAGGAAGTGTTTGGCAGTCTCTCCTTTGTAAAGATACCATGTGATCTTTTCCTACTTTGAATTTGGGAAGCTAGTCACTAAGTGTGACCCACCCTGCTTAGGAGTAAGGATGGTGGCCGTAATTAATCTCCACCTTCTGAAGGGCTATCTTGGTATATTACTTGGAACTCTACAAAGATTTGTCTCTCATTTATTTAATGATTTTTTCAATCATTTATCTATGTTAACATGGACTTAATATACATTTTTATACTTTGGGTTATGGTTTGTATTAGTTACCTTTCTGGAGGAAGAACTGAAGCTAAGCTCTCACATCTTCAAGCAGGCACAGGAAGCAAGAGAGCAACTGGAGATCTGTCAAGGCATAAAAACTCTTTAAGGCTGCCCCCAGTGACATGCTTCCTCCAGCAAGGCCACACCTTCTAAGACCTCCCAAAACAGTGTCACCAACTGGGGACAAAATGTTCAAATACTTGGAGTCTATGGGGGACATTTTCATTCAAATCACCACATGGTTCAATCCTAGACTACTTACTTTCTTGTTCAGATTATTCCTGCTTTTGACATTGGGAACTCTTTTTGGTTGGCTCCTCTGTCTCTTTGGTAAGCCCCCATCTTTTTTGCTCTGATTTGTCTTGAGTGCTTTGCTTTCTAGTAATACCAGATACCTCAGCCTCATCCTGTGTTTTCTATACTACTTTAAAATTACCCATTTCTCCATGTTCCCTTTCATAACCCTTTGTTTAAAAAGAAGGAATAGAAAGGAGCCTTCAACATAACAAAAGCATGCATGACGTAACCCATGGCTAACACCATACTTAGTGGTAGAGACTGAGTGCATTCCTTCTAAGATCAAGAAGAAGACCCCCATTCTTCATACTCACCAGTTCTATTTAATCAAACACTGGCCAAGGTAATTAAGTAAAAGAAGCAAAATGCTTGTGGTTCTCAAAGGAAGAAGTAAAACTGCCATTATTTATGGATGGTTCTCTATATTCTTGATTATAGATCCTATATGCAGAATATCCTAAAGAATCCATTAAAATGATTAGAACTAATAAATGAATGTAACAAGGCTACAGTACACAAGATTAGTGTACAAAGATCAATTATACTTTTATGAATAAGCAAGAGACAATAAAAATGAATTCCTTTTAAATATGGCATCAAGGGCTAGAGAGATGAAGAGATGGTTCAGGGGCTAAGAGCAATGGCTGTTCTGACAGAGGACCCGGATTCAATTCCCAGCAACCACATGGTGGCTAACAACTGTCTGTAACTCCCGTTCCATGGGATCTGATGTTCTCTTCTGACATCCGGGGACATTGCATGACACTGGTACACTTACATACTGTCCTAGTTTGTTCTTCATTGCTGTGACAAAACACTCTGACCACTACCAACTTGGGGAGGAAAGGGTTTATTCAGCTTACAACTCCCAGGTTGCAGTTCATCAGGGAGCCCAAGGTAGGAACTCAGGGCAGGAACCTGGAAGCAGGAGCTGGAGCACAGGCCATGGAGGAACGCTGCTTACTGGCTTGCTCCCCTGGCCCCTGCTCAGCTTCCTCTCTTATCCAACACAGGCCCACCTGCCCGGGGGTGGCACTACTTACAGTGGGCTGGGCCCCCCCACATCACTCAACAATCAAGAAGATGCCCTGCAGACATGGCCACAGGCCAGTTCAATGGAGTCAATTCCCCAATTGAGGCTCCCTCAACCCAGGTGTGTCAAGTTGACACTAAAGCTATTCAGCACACATACATACAGGCAATATACTTATACACATAAAATAAATAAATAAATAAGAAATATGGCATCAAAAATAAAAAGTGCTTAGGAATAAATATAGCAAAAGATGTAAAAAAAAAAGTCGCACTATGAAAACTAAAAAATACTGTTTGCAAAGATCTCATGCTTATGGGTCAGGAGATTTAATGTGGTAAATATTTCAATATTTTCCAACTTGTTCTACAGATTCAATGCAATCGCTAACAAAATGCCAGCTTATTTCTTCACAGAAGTTGACAAGCTAATCTTGCCATTTCATATGAAAATTTAAATGACCAAGAATAGTGAAATATCTTTAAAATGAAGACGAGAGCTCATATTTCTTGATTTCAAAACTTACTACAGAACAACAGTCATCAAGACACTGCATTGCACCATATACATGTATGTATATATATATATATATCACGAGAGTCCAATAACACTAATAATGATAAATTATGTTCAATTGATTTTCAAAATGATGCCAATTTAGCTCAAGGTTGGGAAAGAAGTATCTTTTAAACAAATCACATGGGAACATTATATTTCCAACAAAGAATATAGTTGTGTTTCACCTTATCACACATATAGGAATTGAGTCAAAATGGATCAGAGTCCTTATCTGAGAGCTGAGATGATAAAACTTTGATAAGGAAATACATGATAATACTTACAGCCTTGGATTCAAGAATGGTTTCTTAAATATGACATCAAAAACATGAACAATGAAAGAAAGCATAAGTAAATAACACATCATCAAGATTAAAAGCTTTTTGTGCTGCAGAGTACACCATCAAAACAGTGAAGAGACACCAACCGAACAGGAGAAAATATTTGGAAAGTATATATCTGATAGGAACTTATATCTAAAATATAACTAACTCTTACAGCTCAGTAATAAAGATAAATCAATAAAATGGGCACGACATCTGAAGAGAATTTTCCAAAGAAGATATAAAAAGGAGGAATGAGCACATGAAAAGACTCTTAATGTCTTTAATCATTAGGAAAATAAAATTTAAATCCACAATGAAATATCACTTCACAGTGTAGGAAGACTTGTACATTACAAGTCTTAAGAAAGTGCAAACTGGACAAAATCTCAGCATAGACGTGGGGAAGTGGGTAAGAAATCCCAATCCAACCTAAGGAGCTTTTGGCAATTAATGGCTGCTGTAAGGGGGAAGGACAGTGTCTTACAGGAATGGGATGCTTGGTGGGCCCAGTGAATGGACCCACACTGAAGGACATTGGGGAACCCAAATCAGACTCTATAGGCCATATTATATATATGAGAGTTCATTAAATTGGTCAGGAGGCAGCAGGGGAAGGTGAGGAGAGGGGAATGGATCTAAATGCCATCAAAGTATATTATATAAAAATCCCCAAAATTCAATAAAAAATGTGAAAATGTAAAAAAGGGACACATATTAACATATAGTGGCAAGGATTTAGAGAAATCAAGCTCTCATGTAGCACTGGCCAGTATGTGAAATGGTAAAGCTACTTTGGAAAACAATGTGTTTAATTCCTCAAATGATTAAACAAAGTTAACAATAATATGATTCAGAAAATCCAATTCTAGGAATATAGTCAGGAGAAATGGAAGCATATGTCTATATAAACACTTGTACAAAACTATTTGTAGCAGCATTATCCATAACAGGCCAAATTTGGAAACAACCCACATACTTATCAACTGATGTGTCATGTCCTTGCACTAGAACATGGCTTGTCAGAAAAAGAATTGCATATGGATAGTGATAGATGAACCTTGAAAACACATGCTCTGTAAAAGAGGCTAGTCACAAAAGGCTACATATCATGCTCTCTTCCACAGCACATACACTAAAAGTGGAACAATACAGAGAAGATTAGCATGGCCCTATGCAAGGATGACATGCAAATTTGTGATGCATTCCACATTTTTACTCATGTAAGAAATTATCAAAAAATTAAGAGAAAACAAAAGGTCACATATCATATGATTCTATTTGTGTGAAATGTCCATGATAGACATGCTTACAGAGACACAAAAGAGACTACTTGTGTGGAGCCGAGGTAAGTAGAAGGGAGTTTAGAATGATTTGGGTGTGATGGCTAAAGGACGCAGAGTTTCTTTCTGGAATGAAGGAAATATTCCCAAATTGATTGTGGTGATGGGTACACAACTTAGCAAATATACTGAAAAACATTTAATGATACGTGAGTGAATTACATAGCAAGTGACTTATATCTCAATAAAGTACTTACAAAAATACTGAGAAATATGTGTGTATGAGTGCTCTCTCAAGGTGTTGGTGAGGGTAGTCCAAAAGACTCCCAGAATCACACAGGCTATTGCCACAACCCTTGGTTTTCTTCCAGAACATGAAGTTAAGACCCTATTACTGAAGATAGAACATACTTTGGACACAGGACTTGAAACAGTGGAGCTGGAAGCCTCTTCCCTGAAGACCAGCTCTCATAGTATCAGAGGTTACTATGCAAGCTACTAAGGGAGAAAAATCAATCCATGGTCCAACTCCGATGTAAAGTCTAATAACCACAACAATGACAGGTGCAGTGAACTATCTCTATTGATGTAGTAGTGGCACTTTTATCTTAGAGGTAATCAACAGCTATCTAATTGGGATTAAGGCCCATTCAATGGGCAGGAACTCGTGTGTGGTACTGTAACAGCCAAATACACTTGGCTGGAGAGGTCATAGATCCTGGAGAAAAAACCTACATCTGTCACATCCTTAGACAAATGTAATTTCTTACTGTATGCTAAATATGTATCCTTTTAGAAAAGTGTTTCATTATTTTTATTTTATGTGCATGATAGTATTGCTTGCATATATGCACCTGTATTGTGCAGTGCCTGGGGAAGTCAGAAAAGGGTGTCAGATTTCCTGGAACTGGAGTTACAAACTGTTGTTAGCCATCATGTGGGCGCTGGGAATCAAACCTGGGTCCTCTGCAAGAGCGGTCAGTGCTCTTAGCTGCTGATCCATCTCTCCAGTCCCAGTATGGATCTTTATATTTACAGACAAGTATATCTCTCACCACTCATCAAATAAACCTCTTTTTGCAACAGATGGAGACTTAAAGAATTCCACAACTGGTCAAACAGAGCGTAAGTGTCTGTGAGATGCCCAGCCCTAAGTGGCACATCTACACTGGAACCTCTACACCTAAGACTCACAGAACATATTAGAACAGGGGTAGAAAGAATATTAATTCACCTCTCAACTCTCACCAGCAAAGTTTCCTCATGCAACAGAGGGTGATTGACACAGAAAGCCACAACTGGCCAAAATGTAGAGAATAAGAGACTGCAGAGTGTGTGTTCCTAGATAGGACTCCCATATCAAACCTCTGCCACTCAGGGCTCAGGGACTACTAAGGAAGAGGAGTCAGAAAGACTGTAAGAGCCAGGGGTGGTGGATGATCACAAAGAAACAGAGTTTTCCAGGAGTCTGGGAACTTGCTCATATGAACTTACAGCAATGGTGAGAGCATGTACAAGACCCATAAAAATTCAAACCAGGCAAAAATCCCAGCACAGAACTGGGGAAATGGGCAAGAAGCCCCAACCTTGACTGAGGAACTATTGGCAGCTGATCACTCCTGGGTAAGGGAGAGTTGGTACCCACTTCTGGGTAAGGGAGAGTTGGTACCCACTCCTGGGTAAGGCTGACTAGGCTCCAGTGGCTGAACTCACACTGAGAGACATCTGGGGACACAAACGTGACTCAATAGGCCTTAACATATATGACAGAATTCATGAAATCTGGTGGTGGTGGTGGGCTAGGGAGGATGCAAATGGGGAGGGGATCTAAATACAATTAAGATGTATGGAATGCACAAAAATTCAATAAAATATTGTAAAAACATAGTAATAATTACAAAAAATATCATGCAGAAGCTGGCCATGGTAGCACATGCCTTTCATACCAGCTCTCAGGAGGCAGAGGCAGGTAGATCTCTGTGAGATCAAGGCCAGTCTGGTCTACAAAGTAAGTTCCAGGTGAACTGGGGCTAGAGAGAGAAAAAAAAAAAAAAAAAAAAAAAAAAAAAAAAAAAAAAGACAGCAACAACAAAATATCCTGAGAAAAAAGACTGACAATCCATTATCAATTTCTAAAAGGATCTATTTCTAAAATGCAAAGCTATTTAACTTTGAAAAACAGAGGAGAAAATCCACAGAGAAGAAAATTCAGATAGCTGTCTTTTTTTTTCTTTTCTTTTTTAATGAGTGTATCACCTGTATGTGTGTAGTGCACCTGTGTTGTGCAATGCCCATGAAAGTCAGAAGAGGGCATCAGATTCTCCTAGAACTGGAGTTATGGGTGGCTATTAGCCACCATGTGGGTGCTTGGAACCAAAACCTGGGTCCTCTGCAAGAACAACCAGTGCTCTTAACCACTAAATCATCTCTCCAGAACCCTCAGATGGCTGTCTTGATAGGGCAAAACAAAAAATCTGTAACTTTGGAATAGAATGAAACTTTCTTTTTATTTTATTTATTATTTTTATTGTTCCAAGCATTCACATGGCAGTTAACAAACTGTAACACCAGTTCCAGGGGATCTGACACCCTCTTCTGACCTTCGTGGGCACTGCACGACACAGGCGCACTTACATACATGCAGGCAGTATACTATTACACATAAAAAGATAAAAAATTTTTTTGGTGTTTTTGAGACAGGGTCTCCCTGCAGCCCCAGCTCTCCTGGAACTCACTATGTAGACCAGGCTGGCCTTGAACTCACAGAGATCCACCTGCCTCTGCCTCCCGAGGGCTGGGATTAAAGGCAAGCGCCACCATGCCCGGCTAAAAAGATAAATATTTTTTTAAAACCCCAAAGGATTAGGAGCATGTCGCTACTCACAGGAATTATGATTGCATGTAAAGATAGTTAAAAATTATGCATGCATATTCAAATACTAATATGAGCATTTGCAAAATTTATAGTCTTGAATTCAGTGATCAAAGAGAAATTCCACATTTACTTATCAGTAATAAGTAGTTAGAAAAGTAGATATGTGCCTTTTTTCTAATCTTCTTGAGACAGGGTCTTTCTATAGCCTCAGCTGACCTGGGACTCACCATGTAGACCAGGCTGGCCTCCCTGTCTGCCTCTAGGTATGTGCCACCACAACCGGTTCAATGTATACCTTTTAAGGCAGCATAAAAAATGCCTGTGGCATGAAAGATCATATTGTGAGAAAATGCATGAAGTTCCATCCAGAGACACTGAAGAAGACCTTTTTTATGGAAAGATATGGGTTGTGATTATGGACTGATGAGGAGGATCTTAGTATCTCTTAAAATTAAGCCATAGATTCAATACTTCCATCAAAATTATAACATGTTTTGGTGAAATTTGACATGATTATAAAATTTGAATATAATTACAAGGATCCAAAAATAAAAACCTTTTTGTGGAAGTTTAGATATTTTCCCCCTGATCAAGGCTTATAAATTACAATAAGACAACAAGGTAGACAAAAATCAGTGAGCACATATTATCTCACATCAATAACATTTGGTAAACAACAAAAGGGGCATTTCAATGAATGGGAAAGGATTGGCAGTGAATGGTTCTGGAAAAGTTCTGTCATTACCTTATTTCACACTACAGAACAAAATGATCTTATACTGATTAAAGAGCTATTATGAGTTGAATTATGTCCCCCAAATTCTTATGATGAAGCCCTAACCTCCAATACCGCAGAATGTGATGTTACTTAGAAATGGAGTAGTGTAGACATAATTAGTTAAGATAGAATGAGATCATACTGGAGTAGGGTGGGTCTCTAACCTAATATGACTGTGTCCTTAGGAAGACACTGGCACAGAGACATACACCGGGAGAGATACACATGTCACATGAGCATTAAGGCGAGATTGGGATAATGTGTTTTTAAGCTAAGGAGCACCAAAGATGGTGGCAAATCATAGGAAACTAGGAGAGAGACATTGGACAGATAGGCCTCAGAGGATTCAGTCCTGTCAACTCCTTGATTTCAGATGACTGGCCTGCAGAGCTGTGCTTGCTGGAGGTTTCTCTGTTAAGCCACAAGTCTGTGGTACATATTATGGCAGTCCCAGCAAACCAGTACTAGAGCCACATGGAACCGCAAAACTAGGAAGCATTTAGGAGACTGTACAGCAGAATGCCTGTGTGACCTTGGGGTCATAAAGTGTTTCTTAAACTTAAGAAGACTAGACAGAAATAAAACAGATAGATGTTGAGCTATGCTAAAATTAAGAATTTCTGCTCATGAAAAGGCTTAATATTAAAAGAGACTTTAAGAGTTAAGCTCCTGGGCTGGAGAGATGGCTCAGTGGTTAAGAGCATTGGCTGTTCTTGCAGAAGACCCAGGTTTGAATCCCATCACCCACATGACAGCAAACAACTGACCATAACTTCTGTTCCAGTGGATCTGATGTCCTCTTCTGTCCTCCTCGGGCACTGCATGATACAGGTACATACATGTAGGCATAACATACATATAAAATAAAAATAAATTTAAAAAATTAAAAAAAGAGTTAAGCTGCCCTCTGAAAGAATGTATGTGCATTATATTTAACTTGTATTAAGTGGAATGTTATGTTTTATGTACATGTATTCTGGATACATACATACTGTCCTAGTTTGCATCTCCATTGCTGTGACAAAACATTCTGACCACTATGAACTTAGGGAGGAAAGGGTTTATTCAGTTTACATCTCCCAGGTCACAGTTCATCACTAAGGGAGCGCAAGATAGGAACTCAGGGCAGGAAGCTGGAGGCAGGAGCTGAAGCACAGGCCAGGGATAAATGCTGCTTACTGGCTTGCTCCCTTGGGCCCCACTCAGCCTGCTTTCTTATACAACATAGGCCCACCTGCTCAGGGGTAGCACTACCTACAGTGGGCTGGCCCTCCCACATCA